CATGGATTGTCATGTTGTCCTGTGCCTGTTTTCTTCACCTTTTAGTAGATGTGATAACTAAAGTAGCTTTGTACGTTATAGTCATTCTTTTATGGGAGATAAAATTTTCTCCCCTCCACTCATACTTGTAAAAGGGAGTTAACTTTTTGTACTGACATTGACTACATTGAACTGGATGTGAGCTACACTGGGTTACTGGTATAGAACTTGCATGGAATCAGATCCCACTGTTTTCAAATTGATGGGAACAAAACTAGGTTTACAGTGCAGAAAGCTTGTATTAAATTTTGGTTCAGTAGAAGGTATGGAAAGAATATGGTTTCTTCTTAAAATGATTTATATAAATTGGTAGACTAGAATTATGCTTAAAACCAAGTGTCTAAATGCACCTGTTTAAGTCAGCTTCTTGTTCTCTCAGGTATTTAGGCATTGAATTTTCCCCATTAGCAGCATGATTGACACTGTGGTCCTTACAATAACACATGATTATAACTCTGAAAATAGCAATTACATAAAATGGAAACCAGATGTTGCATGGAATTTGACTCTCTTGGTTTCTCAGTGAAGTAGATGAATTTGTAAAGCAGAAAACCACAATCATTATTCAGATGGATTGTACATGAATTAATGACATAATATCTAAATCATATATGGTTGAAAATAATGATTAACTTCAGCTATCAAGATAAGCTAATGGAAAACAGATTTTTTAAAGAAAAAAATCAAGGACATGCTCTTTTCAATATACTTTATCTTTACAGTAATAACAAAACCAGACCTGCTTTAACATTTCTTTATCCCTTAGATATCAAGGATTTACATTAAAAATAAACTCTTCACAACTTTTAACCTCAGGGAATGAACTAAACAACCATTTCTATTATTTTTTGTTGAAGGCAAGTTCTTTACCTTTTCACACTGGAGCAAATCTGATCAAATCACCTCTCCTTAATGGCTGTGTTCAGTGAACAAACCTCAGCAAATATTCAGGTTTGTGCCTGCACAAATGTGTAGTGATGCTCAGTCCACAAAGCCAAATTCACAGCACAGACTTGCCCTGGACACACTTTGGCAGACTGGCAGAGTAGTCCCTCAGAATTTTAATGCATTCATAACAATGAATATCAACCCTTGGTTAGCAACATCCTAAGTGGTTAAGTTTGTGAAAGCCCTGGCACATCATTTTCACTATCATGTATTCCCAATGACATCATCATTGTAAAATTAGGAACTTTCTTTCTCTCTTTCCTGCAGATGTGGAAGTTTGAAATTGCATTCCATGGTCCTGTGCCACATTTCATCAGCGTTTTTCCTTTGCTTTCTCCAAAGACTGGCCACATGTGGTGTGTAGATTGCTGGTGCTGTTTGGGATCTCATATCAAATACTGCTACCTAATCCCAGGCGGCCTCGGCGGGCCCACACCTGCAGCTGATTGAATCCTCCCGGAGTACAAAGCCCTGATTTACAGCATCAAGGATACAGGGCCTGGTTGCAGCTGGGCTCCAGCAGGAAAAGGAAGTTGTTCATCATCTTGTGTGCATTTCATTAACAATAGTGTACCCGATATGTAGCTTATACAATAATTTCAAATCACTGACAGAGAGCATTATGGTGTTTGGCATTAGGAGGAAAAATACTTCAGGATGGGCAAATTAAATGTGAGCGTGAGGTTTTCATGTGACCCAGTGAAGGTCCACAGGCTGATTTACACTGGGAGGGCTAATCTTGAAATATTTTTGTTCCTTAACTTTATCCCATTTCTTTCCTCTTGTTTGATGAGCAGACTGATCCAGCACTGTGAGCCTCAGAGCATGGGGAAAGCTGCCTCAAGTTATAACCCTTTCAGAAAAAAAGCCTGTGAAAAGAACACTGAAGGAATGGATGATCGTGGCCACAAACCTATTGTCTTTAAAAACAAGGAACTCATGGTTCAGAAATGAGCCTTGAGATAAATTCTGCCACAGTCTTGCTGAGCCATGACAGGATAAATCTAATGAAATTTTCATATCTGTAACAGCTAGAGGTACAGCTGTGGGAGGAAAGAGGAACAATTGGGATGATGTTCTTCAAGCCTGGGTTTTCTATCCTTTCAATATCTACTGTCCTATGGATTTAGAAAAGGTTGTGGGTGCTGTTCCATGGCAGGACAAATCTTGCACTTCTTTCACTGGTCTAAAATTTTTATGGCTGACGATTCAATTGTTTGTCTCACTTAGATGACTCTTTACAAAAATTGTTGCATCCTTTATGAAATAATGTCTTTTGAGTGGCTTTTTCCTCCCTTTCTCGACAACCTTGTTTCTTACTTTAAGGTAATTTTTTTTGTTGTTGAGAAAGTTTTCTTGTTTTCTTCCACATTCCCTAATCAGAAGGCTTACAAACAGGCTCACAGAAGCAGCTGTTGCATACCTGAGCCTTTCAAATTCAAAAGAACAAACTTTGGATGAACAGTCTCTAAAGTGATCTCACAGAGTTTTTTTCAGAAACAATTAAGTAGTTTCCTGACTAAATGGTACACTTTACACCCAAAAGTCACTGAACTTCTGTAATTGCAGTGTCAAATATAATTTATATTTGAAGGCATTGAGTGGTAGAAGTTTTAAAAAAATCCATTGAATCCTTGTACAAATTGAACTTATTTCTGATGCTGCTAAGACAGTTAAAAATTATCTTATTTATTTGGTGATCAGGGATTTACAAAAGATATCTTAAATGACATATTTTTTAAGAAACACACAGTCATAAATGCAATTGGAATGGGGTAAGATTTGCACTAAAAAAAATCTTAGTTCAATGGTTTTATTATAACATTTCATAATCCAGAAGTGTTGCTTACTGAAAAGCAAAAAATGCAGAAAACATTTGTACTTGAATAAACCCACCAGTTCTTGTTTATCCATTTATTTCATTAATGTGCAACATGAAATGTTTTGCTGGAAACAATTCTCTCTAATTTGCAAATGCAGTTGATGACTGCAGTTCCTTAATCAAGAAATAGATTTAAACAATACAATGTTAAAACTCTACAAAAAGAAAAAGAAAAAATTTAATTTTGCCAGAACTTTTTCCTGTGATCACACCATATGTGTGGCAACTGTGTGAATAGTATCACATTCATTACTGTGGTTTTCTGGGGAAAAAAAAAAAAAAAAGAAGATTGGAAAGTGTGTAAGACATTACCCAGAAGACTCATTTGTGTAGATAGTTTTAGAGGTATAAATCACTTGGAAAACTCAGCTGTGCCATTTTCTGTGAGGTTCCTCTTGGCTTCACTGATGTGAACTTCTAAAATTATTAACTAAACACTTTTCTTACAGGACATATGACAATGAGAATAAGAGTAGTGAGGGTGTTTCTCTGTCTTTGAGGTGGTATTCAGACTTAAGCTGTATTTCCTTCAGCACCACTGAGGAACATTCTCAGGCTCATTTTCATGGCTAGTAAGTTAGGATAAAAATGTAACTTCTTGAGTTACCTTAGCCTCCTCAGCCTTTTTTCTATTGTTCCTTATAGTGTCTCCTCACACATCAGTCCCAAACTTGTCATTCCTTACTCTGTAAAGTCTGTGCTAAAAACTTCAGTTTCTTAATTGCTTTTTCTCCCTTAATCTTTACTCTTTTCTTCTCTAATGTAATTAAACTAGTCATGATAAAAAAGAAAATAGGAAGACTGAAGAGATTTGTCCCAGATTGGATATCCTGATTTCACAAAGGGAAGACTATAGGATAAGCTATCTTGCATTCTGAATCCAGAAATATGAATCTAATTGAGGACTGGAACAAATCCATTAAACTTGTCTGTAAAAATAATTTGCCTTGAATAGTTATCCATACAGTATTGTTGCTGATACAGTTGTAAAAAGCATTTAGCACTTTATAATCCAATCTCTGCCCCTACACAGGCCTGGGAACGTATTCTGCTTAGGGGGGTAACAACTTTTACAAAGTGTTCCTCATGGAGATCACCTGGAAAACTTCCAGGATGGCATTCCAGAAGTTATAGTTTTAGCAGTCACAGAAATGCACCATGCTGCATTTCCAGATCCTACATACAGTAAAATGATTGTATGGGGTAGCACCTTCACCTCAACCCAAGAGCACTGTTATGTTATTGAATTGTTCAACATTTGATATGCAATGTGGGACACTCTGAGGCTCTCAGTCATTGCTGGCCCACCTCTGCTCACAGAACAGCCAAGGGTAAGACCTGAGCTGACTTTTAGAGTTAGACCAACACTGAGAACCTTTGACAATTCTACTTTGCCCAGATCCGTCATGTACAGTTCACAATTCCCTATGTATAGGCATGCATGTTTGGGTAAGGCCTTGTAATTTCTCCTTGAAAATGTTTCTTTTTGCTACAGCTGTTTAATGAACTGCCTTTTTGATATTTTGGCAAAAACTCTATCTTTTGCATGCCTAGAGTGACAAAATTTAATTTGGCAAAGTACACACAATACAATGGCTTTAAATAGAACAGAAATTACTTGAAACCTAGTCTACAACATTTAAAGAAAACATTTCATACTGGGCCAATATGTTCAGCTCAGACTCTTATCAGCTTTTAGGCTATTCCATGAGTAATGTCATCAGGGTTTGAGCCATCTATCAGACAGGCTGTTAGGCTTTTATCTAGGTGTACAGCAATATAAATAAAACTGAACCCAAAATATGGAAAAAGCATGAATCTTATCTTGGAGCCCTGTCAAATTCAGAGTTCATATGTAGCTTAAAATATTAAATTTGCTGTATTTGATTGACTATTTGTTAATAAAAACTCTAGGAATCCAACGTAGGTTTGATAGCCTACCACGCTAACTGCTGCCTAAAATGTACATATTTTAAAAATGCAATATCTTTCAAGAAATGACCCTAAAAATATAAAATAAGGTAAATTGAAAAGTATTTTAAAAATGTAAAAATGACGGTTCAGAGAATCCTAGAGTTGCTTCAAAGACTTTAAAGGGTTACATTTCTGTCTCTTTTCTGAGCAGATTTCACCAGAAATGTCAAGAACTGGTAGAAACACAAAAGTCCTGTGATCCTGTTATAGGAATTGGGTCTAAACAAGACACAGCACAGAGATATGTGATCAGGTATCAACCCTAAGTGGAATTCAGTACTTGAAATAATGGTATCTTCTTTGTGTTGAAAACGACTTGACTTAGAGATAGCTTGGATGTAATCTCATTCTACTTCTCCCATTGTGCTTCTTCAGAAAAACTGTGATATGAGGAAGAAAAAAATCAATTGGTTTATAAAATTTCTTGAACGTATTTTTTTTTGCATTTTAGTCAATAACATATTATTCCTCTCCTGATAAAGGCTGCTCTGATTTTGAAACTCCCCCAACCAAGAGATATATTTATTTTCAAGGGTTCAACATAGACAGGTTTTCTAAGGTCTATTTTTTTCTGGAAAGAGGGAAGCATAGTACAATGAAGAATATACAGTGAAGATTTCAGGAGGGCCTATTCTATTCTATTCTATTCTATTCTATTCTATTCTATTCTATTCTATTCTATTCTATTCTATTCTATTCTATCCTATCTTATCCTATCCTATCCTATCCTATCCTATCGTCTTCTATTCACTTATTGATTCAAAATTCTTCCAACACAATCCCTTAATGATACAAACATGTGAGGATTCTTTTACTCCTTGTAAAGTAACTGCATTTTATTTTGGGAAAAAGTGTCTCCTTAGAAGCATTTCTATATGTAGTCTTTTTCTTCTTGAGCATTACTCCAGAGGTTCATCTTGCTCCCTTTCATTTCAGTTTACAAATCACTATTTTTTTTCAGCCAAAAGCTCCTTTATTTGGTAAGTAGCAGAACAGAACTTTATCCACATGTTGTCACCACTGGTTTCCAAAATAGCCTATTCAAGTGGGTTGGCAAATTTCAACTGAAATGTGTGTAGAACTGAAAACAATATCTGGCTTCTTGAGTTACCAGACTTAATTGTGCCAATGTATGCTTTCATTGCTTGTTGCTGTTCCACAGCTTTCTGAAACATAAACAAAACAGAGTTCCAAAATATTAGAACTTTCCAGCTTAGAGCAAGTTGTTTTCTTCCTCAAATCAAGTAAGGGAGTTTCTAGTTGTCAAAGAATGGAAAAAGCATTCAAAAATATTTTTTCTATCCAACTGCCTTTTAATGCTTATTTTGTATTTCATTTTTGCCCATCGTGTTGCTGATGTGTTTGGGAATGCAACAGGGGGAGCTGCCAACTGCTGACCACTGCCCTGCAGCATCTGTCATGGCACAACTCTCTGCACCACTAGTTGGGTGCCATTTTTACCCATTTAATCACAATATGTTTATATATTCTGTTTAAGAACAAATAATGCACTGTTCATTATCATACAATACAGTAGAACTGAGTATGATTGATTCAGAGAATATCATTTGAACCTCATGAACTCTGTCAAGTTTGAGAGTCATTCCCATAAGCACCTGCTATTTCTGTGAGCTCCCTGACTCCACATACCATTCATATACATGTGCATATGAGTATACTAATGCAGGTTTTGTTCATGATTCATAAACTATGTTTCATAAAACTAGGTAGAACACTCTCCAGGAATAAAGACAGAAGTGGGCATCTGTTTTTTAAATTTCAATGTTCAATGGGAAATGAAAATATTGGATAATAGGAACATGATGATGAGCCCAGAAAGCTCATTGTCCTAGTGCAAGGTAGGTATGTGATTTGGAATCTATTTAATTTCCTTTTTATGATTATTTGGTGAGGTATTGCAAGTTTTGCCTGCACACGCTTGTCTCTAGCAGTGATGCTCCAGAAGATGCAAAATAAAATGCCATTACCCACATGAAATTTAATTTATTTTAATGATCCCAGTGACCAGGGTTACGGTTCTCAAGTTAAGCAAAGCACTAATTAAAACAGCTGCTCTGCCCTGTTTCTTCAGTTTCCTAACTGCTTGGATTCTTCTTTATTCCAATTGTTTGGAGATTTTTTGAGGCTTAAGTTACGAGGGTGTGGATTAGAAACTGACTATCAAAATGGAACATCTGTAAACTCTTAATTTCTGCTACAGCAGGTGTCAACTTTTCCCTGGATGCCTGTCCTGCTGTTGTTCTGGTTGCATGTAGCCTTGTCAACAAGCTGTTTGTCAGCTGGTTCACTCATTTTTCCTTTCCTTCATTATCATTGATCAAGCCAAAAACTGGAGAGGATCGAGGGTGGAATTCCCTTTAGTTCTGGATTGTTTGATTTAAAGTGTAATCAGGCAGGTCATAGAGAAAGAAATGCTGACTGAGTAATTGCAAGTGACACTGTCTTTTATGATACTTTGCTTTTCAAGGAGCAGCAAATTGTAATGCTTTGGAACATTAATACATTGGAACAAACTTGACTTCCTACTTAGCAAAAGCCATAGGAATTCCCTGGATGTCTGAGAATATGTTTCACTAAAAAAGACAATCTGATGAACACATTTTCAGTGATTTAGAATCCACTACTATTCTTAGTGTGTTATTCCTTTGGTTAACAATCCTCATTGCAATTTCATGCCTGAATTGTATTGCTCCACTTCCCAGCTGTTGGGAGGCATTTTATCTGCTAAAATACAATTCCCTTGCCTGACGTTATCAACCTTTTTTTTTACAGACTGCAGAAAAAAAAATTCTCAGGGTTTGTCTCTTTGTTATGCTCATCACAGCTGCCTTTGTGCCTTGAAAGAGGTAGGATGTCTAGTCCTTTAAAAGTTCCTGTGACAATGCTCTAAACCATCATCAAATGTCTTCATCCATATTTTTTTTAGCGTGCTTGGTTAATGACTAGCTGTGAGGCTTTCTTGAGACGTGCCATGGAACAAAGAGTCCTGATGAAAATGACAGTATGTTAACCCAGGCTCAGTGCCACACTGATAGCTGTGTGCTTAGCTAAAAGGGAGTTTGTTCCAATGCCTGTTGAAATCAGCAGCTGAGCTCCCATCTGAGTTCTGGAACAGGCCCATGTTTTTAGGACCTTACAGATTTCTTAATAATAAATTTTCTTTTTGAGATTTTATATCTGAAGTGAGCCTTTATTTAGTCTCATGTGACTTCTCTCAATTGTGATTTTGAGTATCAATTCCATATAATAAATAGATTAAAATTATCACTGAATCTGAGGTGAAACCATCACTTCTATGCTTTCCCATCAGATATTAAAAAAATTTATTTTCATTATTTTCCCTATTTTTTTCTGATTAATAATTGATTATTAACTATTTGTCAATGAATTAGTGTTTCTGCAATGATTCTGATTAACTTTGAGTATCAGCCTGATTTGTTAAAACCTGCTCCAAACTCGGGGTGTCTGGGCTAATGTCAAGGGAATCTCTACTTGCTCTCAAGTTCAGTGAGTGAAATATGTCCCAATATTTTATTACCACTGCATGGAAGCAGAAACTATTTGTAAAAATAAGCAACTAAATTGGAAAAAAAACAGCCAGAAAATCACAAGTAAGGAATGCTCACCTATAAGGGTGGATGGGTCTTCCTGGTTCTTCCATGTAGCTGCATTCTGATGCAGTTGCCCACCCTGCACAGAGACTTTCTGGTGTTGGATGTAGAGAGTTACTCATCTGCTGCACCAGGGCCCAGGTGAAAGAGGTGAAAAATGGGTCTAGAAGTGCAGAGCTGGATCAGTGTTGTGCAGTGCCTGGTGTGGTAATTCCCGAGGCAGGGTACCCATGGTTGGAACCCCTCCACTGCTCCCCTCACAGCTCCCAGGCAGCAGTCAGCAGTGGGATGACACCTCCAAAAGATGCTGCTGTTAGCTCAGTTTCCTACAGCTGGCTGTGCAGGTGAATGCTCCCTGCCTGCCTGTGTGTGCTCCAAAGCCTGTTGAATTCAGTGGCCAGACTCCCAATGGTTTCTCTGGGCTTTGGAATAAGTGTTCAGGACTTTTATGCTTTGGAATGGCCTCATGATTTCTTGGACTCCAAAGTTACTGAATCAGAGTGTTCAGTCTGTCTCTATTTCTGTGTGTTTCCATGCTTCTGAAAGAGGCAAAAGATGGAATATGAGCTGGATTGTGTGCTTGCTATGTGGCAGTTGATGTGTGTGCCACAGATTGGACACTGCTGCTGGAATAAAGGAAAATAGGTTTATGGGCAACTTTATGGCTGTAAGAATAAAGTAAGTCAAAGAAGTGCCAAGAAAATCCAAGAATGAAATTCCAGCAATCTTTTATAACAGAATATGAAATCTCATTTTGAAAACACTCTGAAATCTCTACAAAATAATTTTCCATTTTCCTTTTAATTGACTGGAATAAATAATCTATTTGTTCCTACTGCTCAGTCCTTTCACAACCCCAAGTCAAAAATCACGTAAGGGCTGGAAGAACTCTTATTTTTTCTCAAATGGTTTCTCTATTAAAATTTGACCCAGAGAAGTTGTAGTAAATTTGTTTGTTTTGCCACTTGTTTGTGGTAACTCTTTTTGTGCCCAAAGAAGCAAACCAAAAAGTGAGTATGGGCCCATCTATTAGATTGCACTCTGGAGTTAATCAGACTGCCCACAATGACATTGCTGGTTTTATATTTTTATCTGAGGATATCCTCCAGCTTTTCTTCACTCATAAAAAATTGCACAATATGTTATTCTTTGGCATCAAATATTTAAGCTAACACAGGGTTTTTAATGTCTCACAGAATATTTTCCCTAGCATCCTCTGAAAAGCAACAATTCTGGAGAAAAATTCAGAAAAGCAGAAAAAGAGTTGATAAATAAGAGTTTCAACTTGTTTCTGTGATGAATTGTCTCCAACAACCTGGTAAGTAGGGTCACTCAGTGCATATTTCCACGATTAACTCAACTTTCATTTTAGCTTTGCAGTTCACCTTTAAATATTTAGTTTGGTTCCTGTGGACAAATGTTGATGTTGGCTCTCTTGTCAGACTGATGAAAATGTTACACAGATGTCCTTTGGTGATTCAGTCCCACTAAAAACCTGCAAATTGCTAAATGATGAACTCTCTTTCTCCATCATTCTTTCGGTTGGTGACTTTCGTTTAGGATCCTTTGCTACTTGCTCCGTGTGCTTGTTGAATGTCCCTGCTCTTTCTTAATGCAGTAATGTCAGTCTGTTTGCTGGGCAAACTGGCTGCATTACACTCTTTTGAGAAGACTGCATTTTACTGGTTGCTGATTAGAACAAATGACAATGTCCTACATCCTCTTTAGAAATATGTTGTCTCAGATGTTAAAGCAGTCCCTTCAGCAGTTTTACTGGTAGCTCATAAAGACCCCCTTCTCTAACGAAATACCAGTAGCTCAATCCCACATATCATTTCAGGAAACCTAATTTAGTCTGCACAAAAATTCTTTGTCAGTCAGGTCTTTCAAACCTCCCCCCCCCACCACTGGAAAATATGAAATTCTCTTTCTTCTCATGGGTTTCCATAGCTGACTTGGTAACAAAAGCACTGTAATCCCTGGCTCTTTTCCCTTGCTATTCATTTGGGAAATGTTCTGCTGTAGTCATTTGAATTTGAACTGGCCTTTCAGTAATTTTGGGGATCCTCAAGTTGCAAGGCTGGGAACAAATAAGAGGGAGAGGTTTTCATACTAATTTAGATGCCTAGAGTTAGGAGACTGTTTTCCTCAGCTTGCTAGCTAAATAACTTTAACCAATAATATTCTTGCCTTATTTATAATGCAGATTGCCTTTTTAAAGGGGAGGCTGGAATTTAGATCATATCTGCATTTGAATACTTCATCCATCACATCACAGCCACACATCCAGCTGCAGAGCACTTTGATTAGCACTTAATAGACAAGTAGCAAAACTACTTTATCAGAAGTATAAGACTCAACTGCTCAAGGAGAGAGGATTTCTATGCAATGTTCTCTGAAGCTCGTGTTCTTTCATTCTTTCCTAAGAACAGGCAAGGAGGAGTCAGTTGTTTCAACACTGTCCTATGGCCTAAAGGTCAGCTTTGCTCCTGACTTTTACTTCCAAATCCAGAATTCACACTGGCAGTCTCATGTGTCTTGAGCACTTCACTTTGCCAAAAACGCAATGATTTCACTTCACTAACAGCTAGAGTGAGTGACAGACTACATAGTGAAATTTTTAGTGGATGAATGTGTTTTCACTATGTATAGTTTCTCCAGTATCTCTGATAGTGTCTTCATGTTGCTCTCAACTGTTTTGTGGACAGCTTCTGAAACCTAAAGTATTATTTTCGTTCTTTAGGAAAGCTACTCTAATTTTAGTGAGTGAAGTTTGATTTCTTTAGTGCACCTAACATTTTGGCTATATCTACACTTCACAACAGAGCTCTGTTCTTGTGACATGTCACCTTGCACTAAAAGACCTGGCACGTCCACAGGGAATGGTGTGGTGCCCCACAGGATACCAGCCCAGCTGTGAGAACACAGCAGCTTGGAGGTCTGGCAGTCCCTGAGCCGAGCCCTGCTTAGAACACTGCTGTAGAGCAGAGTTCTGAGCTACTTTGGTTCATTCTTCCTGCACCAGTACCATGTGATTATAGAAAAATCCCACTTCTTGGTAAATCGAGGGACTTTGTAATGTGTTTTACTTAATTGTGTTCCATTTTTTTTTCCCACGTGCCGATTGAAAGCTAACCTTGTGTTGATTAATTGATACAAACAAACCATAATTAGCATTGCTCCAGAGGCTAACTTCCATTGCTGGAAAAATGAGGTTTAACTTCATT